GTCCTGTATTCCACTGCTAGCCACTATCCATCTCTGCTAACCATACTTGTGAATTAAGGTATATCGAGGCAATACGCACAGTATGCACATATGCCAATTAGAGACTGACCAGTTGCAGTCCTAACGCATCGATGGGAAGATTCAAACAAACAATACTAAGTGAATCACTATATTATTTATTTGTTTACCAAGTATTAGTAAAACCTTTCGCTGTAGAGGTTACAGAAGGCCTAATCAGAGATATCGTGGTTGCTGGCAATAAGCAGCGCGAAGAATGTACATTCTTCAGGTGTCGATTGATTGGGCTGAAAACTTCTAAATGGCGATCACTCAGTATTTATCGTCAGGAATGACGGAGAAGAATCATAAAGTTTTTGAAGTATTTTGTGCTGAGAATTCTATATTGTATCAAAAATATAATATTGAATAAAGCTAATAATAATAATAATAAAATAGTAGGACTTAAAACTAAAGTATTACCCATAGAATACGTTCATCAGATATCTGAGCACAACAGCTTTATTGCTATCGTTCGAATTATGTTTGCTACGCTTTTTCTTGGAGTGCAATTCCACAGAATATTAGGAAAACCAGAAAACATTTCCACCAGGCTATGATGAAAAACGAAAATAAACATTTTCTAACGTTTCCTTTACTTAAACAAAATGGAAAGCATAATTCGAAATATTCAATAAAATACACCTGATCAATAAGTTTCGTTCTCCTACCGAGAAATGTGGATTTATAGGTTAAGAGTATGAGCTGAAATCTCATTAGTAAATTGACGAGACTATAATTTACGGACGAGCCAATCAGGAGCGTTTGAGTGATTTTAAGGTTACGGAGCCGATTTCAATACCTGATGATCACGTATGGTAGGCTCACAGAGGATTTTACAGAAGACGTGATAACTGAGTGGCTACAACAAATAGGACTACGAAGAAGTTCCTTTATTTGTAATTGTGGTAATCAAGTGACATGTAGACCTTGTGCAGACTGCTGTGATGATGTTGTCTTTCCATGTAATATATGTTGGAGTAAGAAGTCTGCTCGTATAGGGACGTCCTTCGCGCGATCGATAATCAGACTAATGCATATTATTATGATTTTTGCTAAATGTATAATAAAACACCAGTATTATTGGCTGCAACATTAGCTGAAGCTTTGGTTGTTAAGTGGTGTGAGTATTGTAGAGATATATGCGTAACAAAAATGACAAGCTTACACAGTCGAAGTGCACACAGACAATACTGAAGCTATGTGATCGGGACTGAGAGAGATTTTGAGACCTTGTCATGGCTACAGTATTATGGAGCCATATGGATGAGTTCCTTTCACTTATGCATTACCACATTAGAACCTTTGAACATCTTGCTAACCTCGACAAGTTTTAGATCATGTAGAAGAAGTGTGTCCACTTTATTATCTTATTTCTTAAAATTTTGTCTGCAAAAAAGAACGGGAATCAACGATTCAGTTTCATTAGAATCTATTAAAAAGACCCGCTCTACAAAGACATTGTCAGTGTTCAATCAAATTACATTTTCATAAATATTCGTATAAGTACATTCTAATTAACTGTATATAACCAATCAGTTAGTTTAAAGTGTCGTCTTGAAAAATAATTATTGATGTGCAATTATGATGTTCGGGCTAATTCGAAGAAGTAGCTTGAATGATGAAATAATGATTCTGTTTTTTTAAATTCAGCATCAGTCTGTTTCAAATCCTTGAATGAAAGATAAAGTTAAACAGTCAGATTATCTCTAAGAGTCATATATTCTGTGAGCTAAGTAGTGTAATGAACTAAACTTGAATGGAGATAACCTATTTACTATTTCATACAAAAATAACAAAGAGTGTTCGTGAAATATGAGAACCATACATTGAATCCCTCACTTGCAAACCTCCAATCAATTGTCTTTCACATTCTGTATGATTCTTCCACTTCTTAATCCTCTTCTATTTAACTTTCTGTTTACTTCAATTAGATCTTCTTGGGCTTCTGTTGCCAACCATTTCTCTATTGATTGGTATTACATACTACTTACGTTGAAAGTCAGATGTGTCATACAACACACTACTATCGGCACCTCGATAAATGAGTATAATACTTTTTGATTAGTGAACTTTATTGTGTAAAGACTGAATGGGTTTTGAACTTCTCTATCTAACATTATTTTGAGAAATATAGGGAACGGTAGAGACCATTATACATCGATTCGAATTGAAAAGTTATCAGAATAACAGCTAGTCGATTGTATGGTGTTAGTTCGTCATATAAATCTAGCGAATAATGAATATGCAGTAATTTATCTAATTATTAACAAGATCTAAAGTGTTTTCATAGTTGAAATCATGAGTCAATTGAAGCTAGACCACCATGAAAAACCTGAAAGCACTTGACAGCCGTTTCGTCATTTTATGGGACTCCTGAGCAGTGCGCATCTACGATCAATTACTCGCGAGATTCGAACCCAGGACTTACCAGTGTACAGAAGATAGTTAATTAAACAAAAGTTATATTTATTTGAAAAGATGTTGTCAATATTTGATGTAGATTAATTAAAGTGGGACGTTACTCTCCAGTGTTTACGAATTCACAAATACCTTACAAAGTTCATGTTGTCTGATACAGTCTTTTGATCAATAAAATTTAAAAGGAACAGTTATTTTCAGACAAACTAATTGATAAATGTTGCTATATAGAGGATAATAGAAGATGACATACAATGAACTTTGGTATAGGAATACTACGAATCCAATGTACGTTCAAACGATGTTTATTAGTCAGTTACGGGTGCCTGATTCCAGTAAATGATATCTTAATTAAATGCATTAAATGTTAATAAATGTAATTTCTTCAAATGGAATGATAAAGTTACAGTGTTGATTTTTTCTCTTTTTTTATGTGACGTAAATACAAAATGAGTTGAAGTGGAGAGGAAAGGTGCACAAAATTGTATCTCTATTTTGAATATCTTGTATGTAACTACTCTGTCATCTGTTTCATAACTGATGATGTTTGAAATGAACATGTTTATGTTTTAACATCTGGCTTGACTAAATAAGAAACATAAGTTTAGTGGTCATTTTAATTTGTTGTCAATGTGAAAGATAGATTAGTAAATTTGTAATAAAAACTAGTAATGAACATTTTACAAGTGACTAATGTGACTTTATGCTTCATCGATGTCATGAAGGTTACTCCAATAACATCGTTCCTTATAATACCAAATGATAATACACAAGGTCCTATACAACGACTCAATTTTGTAATCAGGACCAATGCCTTGACCTAAACAAAATTTAGACAATAATTATGGAATTTTTTTATATTTCGTGAATTAGACTATAGAATCGCCCTGAAAACGTATTATTACTAAGTTGAAAACTATATTTTATACAGTTAAGATCATGAGTCATTTGAAGCTAGACCACCGTGGAAAACCTGGAAGACTTACTGGAAAACTTAATCTACTGAATGATTTCCTTTGAATAAATTGATCAAGTTGATGCAAAATTTCGTTTATGAGAATCAATACAAATCGATCGTTATTCTTAGTTGATAAGACATACAATAATGAGGGTAAAAACAAAAGAAACAAACAGTTCATTGGATAATAATAATAAATAGCTGCTCATTATTGTACATTTTAATTAAAACATCTAACCTTTACTATACGAAAATCGTTCGGAAGCACATACAGATTCAGTTTGGAAAGGACAAGAGGCTTGATAGCCTAAGTGATTCCTGGCAATGATGGTCTCTCAGCTGATTATTCAACGTCATGACTGTTATCATACAGAAAAAAACTACTAACACGAAACGTAATACTGATTAGAAGATATTGGATAGTAATTATAAGCAACAAAATAATAAGAACTATGTACATATCCTTTAAAGTCATTGAAAACTACTGAGTCTTTCAAAGTTCTGTATTTTACATATAGATATACATCACTTTATACTATAAAGTGAATGATCAAGGTAACTTCGGAATTATAAAATCAATAAACTTAAAGATGATAGCTAAAAGTGTATGGAATGAATTCGGTAGATATTTTGCTGTTATATCCCGAAGAGAATTATGGGTGGTACCTTTTGGATCAATACTGTGTGTAATTTTTTATTGTATAATTGTTAAGTAACTAAACTATTCATATTCATGTTCCTTTTATTATGAGCTTTATTTTGACCTATGAATTATTATTATGCGATTTATCATTCCTGAGTTATGCTTTGCCTACCAATTACTATGTCCCTTATTCACAGCCACATTTGGCTGAATCTTGTACAAATGTTATTTTTTATTTTACGGTACGATGTGGTCTGATGGACATAAATAAACTCAGTATGATTGAGCATAATGATTCATATAGCAGAGGTTTTTATGGACTTAACTGGTTGGGCTAGGTAGAAAGCAGGACCAATAAGTACCCTAGACTGTTCGTGAGGGTTTCGTATGTCATTGGTCCGATCGATAACTCACTGCTCTCCAGTTGGTGGAATCATTACGTCGTAAATCAGTCGAGGCAAAAATCACAATATGTAACAATTGGTGTTCACAGGTTATAAAAGTTGCCCATATCGTAAGTGCTGAAAATCCTATTCTTCAATTCATCTAGTATCATAGATAAGCGCTTTGGAGCAATAAAGTAGAACAAAATAAAAGCTCAATTTAATGCTAATTTGATAAACATATCTCTTTATTAAACAAAACACAAAAAAATAATCTACTTATGAAATCATGAAAGCTGTATTTGAAAAAATTAAATAGTTGTCAAGAGAGTCTGTCAGCTATAACGTAGGACCAGGCACATTTATGCTTCAGTCCAAGTTGTCAAGAGAGCAATCATGTGGTCAACGAGCATGCTAGTTAGTCATATAATTTAGTTATAATCCGTTTTTCCGGCGTTATTATTATTCTTATCAAATATTCTTGTAGAAACATTAGACGTGCAACAAAACGATTTATATGAATTCGTGTATTCACAAATTATATAGCTACAGTTACAGAAACAGTATGATTATAAAAAATAACTAAAGTATCAAACTTTAATACCCTAAATGGTCTGAGAAAATCCTCTGTATGAGCTATACATGATTCAATCCATCTATCATTAGCAGCGAAAACATCTAAATCCTCCTGAAATAAAAGTAAAAAGTAAACAGAAGAAATAATATCATGAAAAATGGTTTCACCAAATAAATATTGTTATTTTCATAGTTGAAATCATGAGTCAATTGAAGCTAGACCACCATGGAAAACCTTAAAGCACTGGACGGCCGTTTCGTCCTATTATGGGACTCCTCAGCAGTGCGCGTCCACGATCCCGCACTCGCGAGATCATTATAAATATTATTATAGATATTACTGAATAAGAAGTAATGAAATTCATGTCATCGAAAATCTAAATAAAGATCCTCGTCATTTTTTTTCATTATAGGAATCGCACATGTGACATAAGCTTCTTGATCAGTCATCGTGATGTGAGTTGAAACTGTACCTAGGTTAGGGTTAGGGGTTACAAACTGACATTCAAATTGATGACATTAGTATCAATATATTTTCAGTAGTTAATACAGAAAATGACTAAAATGGCCAAGGTAGTATATCAGACCAGACAACATAAATCACGAGCAGGAATATTGTGTGATAAATTGGTAGGTACTCATAAGTAATATACTTGGAATAACTGCATAAATATCACAGGCCTCGTCATTGGTACATAACCATAGGAACCTCATTCATATTTACTAGGTAAGAATCTACATTTCTTTTCAACTCATAACTGTTAGCAATTTATCAAGTTATTGTAAAATCGCCATAAAAATTGTAGAATTGAAGCGATTTTCATCATTAGTTCAGATTTTCTCCTACATATAATTCCCTGAAACGAAGTAAATTTACAAACTGAAAAGAATTAATACCATTTTATTAGACTGAAGCCAGGTTATCATCACTTGTCAGAGAAAAAATGTTTGTAAATAGGCTAGGGACTAGTGAATCTGTACGTCAAAGACGATGAATTAAGATTTCCAGGCAGAGAAACGGAAATATACAGTCGGTACTATTCTACTAGAAACTCAATGATAGTAGTTATGTAGTGAACAGAACACCTGCTACAGCCAACGCCTCCCCGCCAGAACACTCCACTCAATGACACCTCTCTGCACCAGACTGCCCCAACCAGCACCACCACTCCAGACCCGCAGCGGCGTTCCCCTCCTGGTTGGCAGTGACACCAAATGTAGTGAACAAAACACCGGTTGTGGATAATCGAATGCACTTAGACACAAATTACAGACTATCTCACTAAATTCTGATAACCATATAGCAAGCAGTTTAATTTGCAAAATAACCATCAATTGTCTCAATCTTCAATGTTCCTTCTGTAAATATCAATCCATCTTCTTTAATTTTATTGTTTATGCACTTTCCCACCAATCGCGCTTCGTTTCAGTTCTTTCATTATCGGTTTTCTGCCAAAATACATTCTATGTCTAACCATCACCATATACTACTTATATGGATATAAGTAGACGACACCACTGCTATATGTTGGCTACGTAAGTAAAACCAATATTTCCCTTAGTAAATATAATCTATGTTCAAGATTAAAACACCAAAGCTACAAGACCTTAACAGTCTGCCGACTTTCAAAACACTTGTAGAGTAGTAAAAAAATAACACATGACAAAGTATTCAACTATTCAAAAATTCCACACTATCACGAAGTACTAGTGAAAAAGATAACTATGATGTAAGAACAAATAAAAAGGATGTTGTCTAAAGCGGTAGTTAACTGGTTAAGGGATTTGGTTTTCAGCAATTACGTTCTAATTCTGAGTTCCGCCCCACAAAACTCAGTCTGGGTAACTAGGTCGTATCAGACACTTGAATTATGATTTGAAATCAAGTATCCAGTAGTGAGTTAATGACGTTTGAATGTCATAACAACTAATCCCAATTTAACAAACACTACATGAGCTATATGCATTTATCTGATAATAGTCATTACAGTTTACTACTCAAATCTTAGACAAGCTAGGCTTTAAAAATACCTTGAAGGTGTTGTTTTACATATGTAAGGGTAAAAAATAAGCCGAAAAAACAATTAAGTCAAGTCAATACGAACCACTGTAATCTGGTATGAAAAACCACATTAAGAATTAGTAATAATAAATTTACTGTATTGATAAAGGAAACTTTTATTTTTCGTCACTAAGAAACGAAGTATATGAGGATAAATAGATCATGGTGATTACAGTAAAAAAAATAGAACTAAATAATGCTTCACACTCTTACCTCAAGTAAGTCACATTTCAATGACTTGAAAACATTTAACAATGTTTTTACTTGACTTTGAATAACACTAGTTGAAAGATGCTCGAAGGCAGAATCAAGTAATGCTTGAAGTTGATCTGAGATAGAAACTTTTAATTCCGTGATACACATCTGAAATGAGATGGAAAAAAGTATGTAAAAATTAATCCAATAGAGACAACAAGCAAAAATGGGAATTGCAAGGAATGAAATTATAATCACAAGGGGATTTTAGGAGATTTCAGCATTTTTGATAGTTGAAATCATGAGTCAATTGAAGCTAGACCACTATGGAAAACCTGGAAGCACTGGACGGCAGTTACGTCCTATCATGGGACTCCTCAGCAGTGCGTATCCACGATCCCGCACTCGCGAGATTCGAAACCAGAATCTACTAGTCTCGCGCCAGAGCATTCAACGGAGACTAGTGGGTCCTGGGTTCGAATCTCGCTCGCGAGTGCGGGATTGTGGATGCGCACTGTTGAGGAGTCCCATAATAGGACGAAACGGCCGTCCAGTGCTTCCAGGTTATCCATGGTGGTCTAGCTTCAATTGACTCATGATTTCAACTATGAAGAATGAAATTATATTTATAAAAGGACATATAAAAAGTAATGATACTAAATAGGAGTGGACGGGAGAAGAATCCAGTATATAAAAGTTTCATATATTGTTGCAAATTAATTATTACCATTATATGGTATTGTTTGCAATTTAAGATTACTTTATGAACGTTTTATCACTAGGGCAGGCGAGTAACTTAGCATTTCATATACAAAAGAATTATACGATTAAAGAGTTTTTACGATACTGGAGACCATGTGTACTAACAGTTTGGAATCATGATTTGACGACTCTGGATATAAATCTCATCATATCCAGTAGGTTGGTGGAACTTCAAAATGTTTTTAATAAGTTCGTATTTATTTGGGAATAGTTTCAATGGTCAGTCAGAGTAATAGGCAACGAAGAACATAATAAATATGAATATCGGTTCAAGTTTTCACACCACACCAGGACAGACAGAGGTTGCAGTATTTTAATTCGTAACAGTGTTGTTTAAAATAGAAAAGATTAGGCTGGACAAAATGTGGATCCTTGGGATAAAATATTACCAAGGTAATAGGGAAACATATGACCTAATGAAAGACGAAGAGTGAATGCACCTGGGTCAGTCGATGAGAACGATTCTGAACCATTTCACCCAGTGATTAACAACTAGCTACGACAACCTCACGGATCCCTGTAGTTAAGTGTACAGTACAGTCAAACTTCATAAAGTGATTCTAAATTTTCAAGCATGCTCGAAATACGAAAGTTTTGAGGAATCTACTTAGAAAAAAGGGAGAGCAAGTTCATATTACAGTAATTTAACTAGAAAAGTGAACTCTTCATCCTCACTCTTGACGTAATCCGACCGTTGCTGCTACCTTGACGTGGTGGTCGGGCTTGCCTACTGTGATGAACCAATCAAGTTATACTAGTTGAAACAATCGTTCCTCAAGATCCTACCATGCCAGACTGGTCGGTAGAAGAGCGGTAAGACTAAAAGCAGCAAGCCAAACGTCCGAAATCGTTCTGCTGACTGTACAGATGTGTGACATTAGTAAGGTGTTTTTTTAAAACAACCAGCATTACAGCGATGCCGCCTTCCCACAAGGAGGTGTGAAGTTAGAAATGGTCGACCCTAAAAATGCACACCTAGCCTTATCCCACGGATTTCCGTTTCCGGCGGTAAGGCTCTTTGAAGAACAGAGCTCACACGCCAAAAAGCCCCCACAAAAATGCTGTGCGTGACCGGTCTCAAGCAGTTGTCCCTTGGGCTCTGCGGTCACGCTCTCAGGTCGTTAAGACCAACATTAATCCAACTGCCTTTTCAGGTCCCTCAAGAAATACCCTTCCACGGTGTGGGCAGCCGGGAAGTAATATTAGCTCTCATACCCATAACTGCACACGAGACCAAGTTGGTGACATTAAAATCCTTCCTACACCTCCTAATAACTCTCTTATCTCCATGACTAACCCTTCTCACGTCCTTTTATCACCTCGCACTTCTATGACAAACGATTCGAGTACACAGAATGTTATTCCTGATCTCCTGATACCACGCTCTAAACTACATGTAGGAACTCTTAACGTCAGAACATTGTGCCAAATAGGACAACAGGCTTCCTTAGCTAGGACTCTAGAATCTTACACCATCGATGTGTGCTGCGTCTCCGAAACGCGCATACAAGATCCGAGTAGTGTCATTCATTTGACCTCACCATGACATAATAAAGAACCAACTGGATTCACGCTTCGTGTATCTGAAAGCCCTGATGCTGTTCCCCGTAGCCTCGCTGGAGTAGGTATAGCAATAAGTCGTAGGGCAGAACTAGCTCTTTTAGACTGGATCCCAGTAGACAGTCGTCTGTGCGCTGTCCGACTAAACGGAACAATAAGTACTCAAAAAGGTAGGGACACTCGTCGTTGCCTCTTCGTCGTCTCTGCCTACTCTTCCACTGACTGCAGCTCAGATGATATAAAAGATGTTTTTACAGAAAACTTTCCGACCTTCTCCGAAAAGATAGGCGCTCTGATGTAGTAATACTGGCTGGTGACTTTAATGCTCAAGTGGGTAAACTAAGTGAAAGGGAAAGACACCTGGGTGGATCTTATGGTGTCATGGCTAAAAGAACAGATAATGGCGACCGTCTGCTGCAACTGTGCTCAGATAACCGCCTGTTTCTTGCAAATACTAACTTTAAGCATAAGGAAAAACATATTTTGACATGGCGACCCCCGAATTCGTCCCAACGTTTGACCCAATTAGATCACATCGCTATCAGCCGCCGATGGAGGAGCTCGATAGAAGACTGTCGCTCATTCTGGAGCACATGTTTAGATTCAGATCATGCTCTAGTGCGAGCACGCATCTGTCTGCGTCTTACTGGACGTAGGAAAGACACTGCAGGGAAGCCTCTAAGGGTTCTACTTAATGATAGGCAAGCTAAGAATATATTTCAGGAACAACTAGAAACACAGTTAGGCAACCATGAATAAATAAATGTCCAGAACAGAGTTAGATGAATGAAGCTAGTTGGCAGCTTATAATCCTGGACGTGGAGTAACAAGCATAAGTAAGTAAGTCTTTAACTTCACAGGTGTAGAACGCGCGTATTTGTCATCACCCGTTATAATTATTAAATCCAACCTAGCTAAATAAAACTGAATATATTTGAATTAGTTATATATCAGATCGTACTATTAAATATAAACCTATAAGTTATAGCCATTGTAGTCTAATCAAAAATGGAAGTGACTATTTATTGTTTCACTAAATGATAAATGGGAATATGCATAGAAACACAAGATGTACATTATTAAACACTTAAAATCATAGAAAAAGTTAAAACATACATTAAGTTTCTGTGAATTGATTTCTTGATTTTGATAAAGTAAATTTAATTCACTTTCAAGATGATCAACAAGAGACAGTAAATTCTTTTGAGATGCTTCAACACTATTAAGAGTAACTAGAAAATGATATCTTGCAAGTGAATTAGGTCCAATCATATTGAATGATGATACTGTTGGAACATTGACAATGGATGAAGAAGAACTAAGTGAACCAGCGAAGATGAACGATTAGATGAAAGAAAATTGCATAAGAAAAGATTTGACAGTATGTTTATCATAGAAAATTAATTTGACTATCAATTTAAACTAATTAAAAAATGATAAGCAAAGATGAATAGTGCCTAGCAGTGGAATCAAGGACACGCTTTTCGTCCTATTTGGGACTCGTCAGCTGGATGTACCTGCATCTCAGAGTTGATGTTCACTCTGCGACTCCAACCCAGTACCCTCTCTCCAAACGCCATCGCGTTATGCACTCGGCCACTGAGTCCTGATAGCTACTTGCTTGTGCGATGGGGTGAAGTTTAAATTCACTTAGTATTGTTTGTCTGAATCTTCCCATCGATGTGTTAGGACTGCAACTGGTCAATCTCTAAATATGACGAAACGCGCGTCCTGGATTCCACTGCTAGCCACTATCCAGCTTTGCTTATAATACCTGTGAATTAAGGTATATCGAGGCAATATGCACAGTATGTACATATGCCATTTAGAGACTGACCAGTTGCAGTCCTAACACATCGATGGGAAGATTCAAACAAACAATACTAAGTGAATTTAATTATGAAATTCTGAGATTCGGTTCACCAAAACACAGACTAACTTTATTATCAACGACTTAAAGAAATACAAGCAACACCCCTATTTGAAGTGAAATGATACAAGAGACATTCTGATGAATGTGAAAAGCTCTGAACTGTCAAGCATATACCTACATTTCTTAGACATGTTTTTTTTTAAGAAGAATTAGGTAATCTGAATATATCAAATCAACTGCAGAAATGTGGAGTAAGGTATTAAAGTGATAAATATCTATCATAAAGTATTTACTATCAAGCTTATGCATTTGAACTCCGCCTGTAGCTCTTCTAGAGTTACTGCCGGTCCCAAGCCCGGGTAAAGGAGGAGGGTTGGGCATGGGGTTAGCGACCCCATCCCGTAGAAAAGCTAACTCGCTAAAAAAACGCTAACCAGAAAAAATAATCCAAACCATTTAAACTCTGCCCTCCGACTTGAAAGAATAATTATGACGTCTCATGATGAAAGCCGAAATTCTTCGGAAGTCACGAGACCGATGCACCTTCTAACAACCAGAGCAACACTCTTTATAGGTACATGGAACGTCCGGACAATGTGGGAGACAGGAAAGACCAGCCAAATAGCAATGGAAATGAGGAGATACAACTTGGCAGTACTCGGAATCAGCGAAACCCATTGGACACAAACTGGACAACAAAGGCTAGGTACAGGAGAGATGCTGCTGTACTCCGGTCACGAAGGGGAAAATGCGCCACACACTCAGGGAGTTGCTCTAATGCTGTCCAGAGAAGCACGAAATGCACTTGTGGGATGGGAATCTCATGGACCCAGGATAATCAAAGCATCATTCGGAACAAAGAAGCAAGGGATCACAATGAACGTTATCCAATGTTATGCACCCACCAATGATAGCAACGACGATGATAAATATCAGTTCTATGAAAGGCTGCAATCAATTATAGCAAAGTGCTCACGAAAGGACCTCACCATCCTGATGGGAGATCTAAATGCTAAAGTTGGAGTGGACAACACAGGATATGAAGATGTAATTGGACGACATGGACTAGGAGAGAGAAATGAAAATGGGAAGAGACTTGCAAATCTATGTGCTTTCAACAAATTGGTTATAGGCGGCACTATATTCCCACACAAACGCATACACACAGCTACATGGATCTCACCGGACCACACCACAGAGAACCAGATTGATCACATCTGTATCAACAAAAAATTCCGAAGATCAATAGAAGATGTGAGAACCCGGAGAGGAGCTGACATAGCTTCAGATCACCACCTGGTTGTGGCCAAGATGAGACTGAAGCTAAAGAAAGACTGGACAACTGGACAAACAGCACTACAAAGGTTTAATACAGCCTTCCTTCGAGATATTGACAAGCTCCATGAATTCAAGATAACTCTCAACAACAGGTTCCAGGCTCTACAGGATCTACTGAAAGAACAAGAAACTACTTTGGAGGACAACTGGAAAGGGATAAAAGAAGCACTAACTTCAACGTGTCAGGAGGTTCTTGGTCCTAAGAAGCACCATCACAAGGAATGGATCTCTATGGGAACCCTGGACAAACTTCAAGAAAGGAAGAACAAGAAACTAGCAATTAACAACAGCCGAACACGAGCAGAGAAAGTCAAAGCACAAGCAGACTACGCAGAAGCAAACAGAGAAGTGAAGAAAAGCATTAAAGCCGACAAGCAGAAATACATGGGAGAACTAGCAACGGCGGCGGAAAAAGCTGCAAGAGAAGGGAATATGAAACAACTATATGATACAACGAAGAAATTGGCAGGGAGATATAGAAAACCAGAGAGACCAGTCAAAGACAAAGAAGGAAAGACAATCACTGAGATTCAGGAACAGAGGAAAAGATGGGCAGAATACTTTGAGGAACTGCTGAATAGACCAGCCCCATTGAATCCACCGAACATCGAAGCAGCCCACACTGACCTTCCAATAGATGTCACTCCACCAATGATCGAAGAAGTCAAGATGGCCATCAGACAAATCAAAAGTGGGAAGGCGGCAGGACCTGACAATATACCAGCAGAAGCACTGAAGTCAGACATTGAAATAACTGCAAACATGCTTCACCTTCTATTCAAAAAGATTTGGGAAGAGGAACAAGTGCCAACGGACTGGAAAGAAGGATATCTCATCAAGATACCAAAGAAAGGAGATCTGAGCCAATGTGAGAACTACAGAGGCATCAGTTTGTTATCAGTACCAGGAAAAGTTTTCAACAGAGTGCTGCTGAATCGGATGAAAGACGCAGTAGACGCCGAACTAAGGGATCAACAGGCTGGATTCCGTAAGGATCGGTCGTGCACAGACCAGATTGCGACACTACGGATCATCGTTGAACAATCAGTTGAGTGGAACTCATCACTATACGTCAACTTTATTGACTATGAGAAGGCGTTTGACAGCGTGGATAGGAGAACATTATGGAAACTTCTTCGACACTATGGAGTTCCTCAGAAGATCGTCAACATTATCCAAAACTCATACGATGGATTACAGTGCAAAGTGGTGCATGGAGGACAGCTGACAGATGCATTTCCAGTAAGGACCGGAGTCAGACAAGGCTGTCTACTCTCCCCATTCCTCTTCCTTCTAGTGATTGACTGGATTATGAAGAATTCGACATCTGAAGGGAAATACGGAATACAATGGACTTCTCAGAATCAATTAGATGATTTGGACTTCGCAGATGACCTAGCCCTCCTCTCTCATACACACGACCAAATGCAGATGAAGACAGCAAATGTAGCAGCAGCCTCCGCATCGATAGGCCTCCACATTCACAAAGGAAAAAGCAAGATTCTCAAATGCAACACGGAGAACACCGACCCAATCACACTTGATGGCGAAACTCTGGAAGAGGTGTAAACAATCAAGTACCTGGGGAGCATCGTTGATAAACAAGGAGGATCGGATGCAGATGTAAAGGCAAGGATTGGCAGAGCAAGGGCAGCATTTCTACAATTGAAGAACATATGGAACTCAAAACAACTCTCAACCAATTTCAAGATGAGAATCTTTAATACGAACGTCAAGACAGTCCTTCCGTATGGAGCTGAAACGTGGAGAACTACTACGGCCATCATCAGGAAGGTACAAGTATTTATAAACAGTTGTCTACGCAAAATACTCAACATCCATTGGCCGGATACTATCAGCAACAGAGTTTTATGGGAGAGGACAAACCAGCTTCCAGCTGAAGAAGAAATTAGGGAAAGACGTTGGAAGTGGATCGAACATACATTAAGGAAATCACCAATGTGCATCACGACTCAATCCCTAACTTGGAATCCGGAAGGGAAGCGGAAAAGAGGAAGGCCAAAGAACACACTACGCCGGGAAATAGAAGCCGATATGAAAAGGATGAATAGCAACTGGAAAGAACTGGAAAGGAAGGCTCAGGACAGAGTTGGATGGAGAATGCTGGTGAGCGGCCTATGCTCCTCGACGAGGGGTAACAGGCGTAAGTAGTAGTTATGCATTTGACATTTTAGTCAAATTTATTAATGATCTGCTAACCAAGATAGGTGTGTGAAATACGAAATATGAAGGTTTTATAATATTTTTGTAAAGTTTTCAGGTATACAAATCCTTGACCTGTATTTCATTACTGATAACGGATCATGGAGACCATATATCAAAAGACACTGATTAATTTATTCTGGATATCAGCAACAGTAAAATGTAAACATTGATAACTAGAAAGTATATTACAGTACTTGAAAAATGGTCTTTATCGTAACTTAGTGTTTGATTGAATACTGGCCTATAGTTTGAAGTAGTTTCTACTGCGTTCAGGTTGCAGTGAGAACTTCAACAAGAGGATGTAGACTAATCCACTTGACGAGTCACAAATGGGAAGAAACGTATATTGTGGATCCCACCATTAATCAAACGAAGACACAATCCCCGTGATTCGGTAACTCTGTAGTAAAATGGTTGAGATTGGTTACCTATAAAGTACTCACTCGTATGTTAGTATTTGGTAGAGATAAATAAGTGTTATATATAAAAAGGCAAATAACCAAAACTTTATATGGAATCAATTTTTTGTAAGAAGTGTTATTTGGGACTCTTAGAAGCTTGGTAGAGGAATCTAGTTTACCCACAGCAACACTATTCTGAACATAACTGTATGCATCTTGCACCCAACCTGAAGAAAACCCTGTACGAATAATGTTGCCCAGAAAATCATTTACCATAAGATCAATTAGTATTGAACAACTATAATTCACCATATCACAAATAGTATCCACATTACCAGATGAAAGAGATCGACTGTTAAAAGAAATAAAAATAATTTCAGTATAACTGAAGTTGGTGCTTTGCAACAAACATTCAATCATTAAATAGTATCTGATAATACCATACATATAATTGTTTTGAAGATTCAAAATTACAAAACAATGTATTTTTATAGTAGAAATAAAAAGACTTAGTCAGTTCCTGAACCGAAAGGTCATCACCATCTTTAAAAAGAGCCAAAAGTAAGTCATCAGGGCCTGGTGACTCGTGGCGCTTCAGGAGTAGAAGTTCCTTGAGGACTTCCACCTTGTTAGGTGGATTAGTCATCACGGGCCATGGTCAGCAGGAGAGTCTGATCGATGTCGTCGGGATGGCAGACCAGTCAAACTGCTTCTCGAAAAATTGCCCATCGTTCAAGACGTCGTTAGATGTTATTGATTGGCATCCCGTCGTCTCAACAGAATGTGTCACCCACATCAGACGTCTTTTTGCAAGTGAGTCGGATAAGTTGAAAGAGCTTCCGGCAGCTACTGGAAACAGCTGCTGTTTCCAATTCGCTAGAACGCTCCGAACACCAGGCTCCTCGGTTCTCACGCAGGTTTTGCACAATATCACTACACAGATATCTTTGTTTATGGTCAAACTCGCGGTCACCTGGAATCGGATGGGTTTCAATGAGTTGCAAGGAACCTGTAGAAACCAAGTGCTCGTAAGCGGGACGTTTCGCGAAGCTGCAAGCGGCTTTACACGCCATCTTCATGGTGCCAAGTAATTTCAACCAAATATCATATATACTTTTCAGTAGGATGTTAGCTTGCCTTGAACCTAGCTCGGTTTGACATTTAGTTACAACAGAAGCTGCAACGAATTTACTGCCACCGATCTGTTTAGGACGATGAATTTGTTGGCACTGAAAAGAAGGGTAGGATTAGCGCAAAGAAAAGCATGATCAGAGTCCAGATAGGTACTCCAAAAGGAGCGGCAGTCTTGTACACAACCACGCCAGTGGTAGGTGATCGCGATGTGACCAACCTGAGTCCAGGCTTCAGATGCGAAGGAGGGGGCCAGGTGGCACATCGGCGATGGCTGTGCAGGTAGTCAGTGCTAGCCAGAAACAGGTTGTGGTCTGAGCACAGTTGCGGTAGACAGTCCGTGTTATCTGACCTCCGATCAACAAGTCCTCATCGGCCATCTAAACGACTCTCTTTAGTGTCTAGAAGCCCAAACTGAGCATTCATGTATCTGACTAGTACTACAATATCTGTCGATCACATTTTCGGTCGAACAACTGTTAACTGGTGGTAGAATTCATCCTTGATCGCACCCGGGCTACAATCTGTCGAAGCGTAGATGGAGGTGACAAAAAGACATCGTTCCTCACACCTATTTCTTCTCACTTTGATGGAACTTGCTAATCTAACAGCACATAACCGATCTTTAATGGGGATCCGATCGGTCAGTGCTGCCTCAGCTTTAGAGCTTAGCGTGACACCAATGCCAGAGAAACAAGACGAAGATGCCATAGAGTCCCCGGAAAAACGCACGTGAAACAAGCTTTCTGAAGGAACAGACAGGGAACAAATTTTCAGTACTTCACTGGAGTCTTGGATGGGCAACAGGTATCTATTTGAGACTTTCTAAAGACATACTCAACCCTATCTATTGTCCGGTCTGCATTAGTGTGGGAACGTTGTAAGGGGCCAATATGATTGGTACACATGGTTTCTGAAAGACCTGTTCAGTATTCGTAGTCGGTGGTAGCACTCAACTTTCGACCAGTCAGTGACTGGAGGTCGTTTAGACAGGATAGGGTTTTTTCCATAGGCGTGCTGCTGTGTAAGTTGAAAAATGAAATACGCAAAATGAGAATGAGAAGGGACTAGATAAGTGACGTGGTATAAAAGAAACAAAAACGAATTCTATCAGATGATCGTGAATATAATTTTCCTGAATGAGGGTTGAAAGAAGAGTAATTTTTCCAGTAGTGATTATCATTTGATTTGTATGCGGGCTAAGATAATGCCCAGGCACCCAAACCGAAACATGTGGTTTTCTTAGGGGCCACACCCCGAGTTTTTGACATAGAAGTCTGATCCACAAGCAGTGAAGTGACGTCAGGAAATGCAGTCCCATGACCAACAATGACCAACAATAAGTTCATACTCCATTTGTTCCCTCAGCATACTAGAGCCCATGTTCAGGAATTGCCAACTCCCCTAGGTTGATCTATCAACCCGATTAAAGCGCCGGACATTCTCTTTTCATCCTCTGGATTTCATAAACAACAGTAATGCTGCGAGAAGGCAATGAGTAGGATCAATTTTTACCAATTACAGAAATAACCCATATAAGTTAATCTTACTCTGGAGAATCAGCTTTCATGAAGTTACGTAACATTATTAATTTCTTTTTTACACTTTAAAGGTTTTATTAATCAGACAGTTAACAAGACGTTTTCAGCATTATACTGCTAATTTCTAATAAACTAAACTTATGGTAATTTTATAGAAGGTATAATAGCAATAGAAGGTACAATCAATACGCTCAATGATAATAGTAATTACCACCGCATATATAATGCCTGTGTTTATCTACTACATACATAAATATGATAATAAATATTGTAAAGAAGATTCTGTTCAAGTGTTAGAAATTTGTATAAACCGAATACTGAAGAGATGATTTTATAATAAACTGGTAAATAACTGACTTATATTACAGTAAACGGAATCTAGTCAAAATATAAAATTCCAATGTTCACAAAATCAAATCAACCGGATAACAGATGCAATGAAGATGTCAACAATCATTAGCAGTTAAACTTTGACCATTGAAACACAATAATATAAAGAATTAGTAGCTAATCATAATATAACAGGAACTATTATTTAATTCTTTAATGGCTGGTAAGAGTGATGAATGATCATATATATCAACATGATTTTATGAAAAACACTTAGGATGGTTAACACTGGCAAACAGAAAACTTTTCGTCTTACGTCATATTTCCAATAAATTTTCAATATGATCCTTTCATGCACCTGATGGAAATCGTATGATACTTGGAGTGTTTGTAAAGATAGAATAACCAACTGAAGGATAGTGAAAGCTAATGTGATGGATTTTCAGAATCCACAGTCGACAAAACAATATACTATATACAAGAAAGCTATAATACTACGGGTGGTTCATTGAATGAATGGGCACATTTATACTTCTTAATCATTTACATCAATTCAATCAGTCAGTCAGTCACAACGTAGAACTTCGTACGTACGTATATCAGTTCGAGTTGCCATACCACATTAGCACAGAGATGAAGTTGTCGATACAAATCCCATAACCGTAGAAGTAGTAAGAGTATAAACAGTAATCAGAAATTTCCATCAACTAAGAAAATCGAATTTCCTGAAAATATGAAATACACTGCTAAGACCTTAACGCTTAGAGAAAATTATTAGAGCTGGGTCATTACAATTATATTACCTTACTAAATTGAAGTTAACATAATTCACAACAACAAAAATTGTAACTTACATAAGACTTTTTTTGATGATGAAAAATACATCGTCAATAAAACACCATACATTATTAGATTTGTCGACTTCATCTGAACTTAATGCCTTGCAAAACAAATAATTGAAATAAATTCAGATTAGAAATGATGTACATCCATTAAGGGTGAAACTAACGAACAAGCGAAAAAAGTACGGGTTCGAACTGTCAGTAATGACAACTACAATGTCTTTATCTCGCGATTGAGCAGAATAATGTAATATTAAGGCATCTATTAATTTTCTAGTGAACATTAGCAGAAACTTTACAATAAAGTTAGCGATCAAAACTGATTTTCATATATATTTTAGTAGTTTAAGATTGATTCCTATCCCAAAGTATGTTATCACCACTTGAACAAATCCAAGTATATCAGAAAAAATTATCTACTTCATTTGATCAAATGTAGTTATTTCTGCTGCTGTAAAAGCAGAAGTGATTTGAAGCCTATCAAGAACGATGAATTGAAATATTAGTAGTAAAATCCTCTATTCAGTCTACAAATGCGCCAAAACAGAAAGTAGACATAGTTGTCAAATCCGATGTCTTCAACAAAGCCAGGTTTATTAGAAACAAGACATATTTTAATTCATACAGAGTAAGTTGTAAAGAGATGTTTCCTTAAAACCCACATGCCGCCATACACTTTTATTACAGCTGCTGTTGAATACCAAAGTGGGATATTTAATTGAAGCAATGAGTGACAAAGGTTTATAATCCCACGGGGGAAAAGCTAGATGAATTCAGTGAAAACGAAGCATAAATCTAGGACATTTTCTCAATTATCTTTGTAAATATACTTCACATGAAAATGTAGTCATTTACAATAAACACTTACAACAGACATCATGTAGCAGAGAAAACAACTCACCTTCATAATTGTTACACGGAGATAATATTGTTCTAAATTAAGATATTTGCTGAGTAAATCTTGTACTTGACAAACAAGTTGAGAATTTTCAAAAAATTTGGAGATCTTATTGCTTTTCTCTAAAAAAGATTGACTTATTTTTAATATTTTAATCTATATTGTTAAAACTATGGATGATACTACATCAAGTTACAAATTTAAGAAGCAGGCAACACTATATATACATTCATATAGCAAGTTTCAACGAGACAATACACCAGGATGATAACAACTTGTGTGGATATACAAGATTAAATACACAGATAACATGTAAACTATTTGAAAGATTCTAGATGGATAGAAAAAAGATGGCCATACAGATAATTCAGCGAGATGAGAACTTAAAAAAGTTAATCTAATACTGTAAATTAACGGTGTACAAGTTCATATAGTATTACTCAGAAATATAATGTTATTTTCAGCTAATAATACCCCATTATATAGCTGAGATCATTAGTCAATTAAAGCTAGACCACCAGTGAAAACCTGGAAGCACTAGACGGCCATTTCGTCCTATTGTGAGACTCCTCAGCAGTGCGTACCCACGATCCCGCCTCGTGAGATTCGAACCCAGGACCTACCAGTCTCGCGCCAGAGAACATAAACGATAGACCATTGAGCCGGCACTGAGGTCAACAAACTGATGTTTTTTTTCTTATAATCACACGATCAGGTAGTATATACTATTATTATCATCACCATTATTATTACCTTGATAAAAGTATTTCATATGAGAAAACGCACATTAGATAGGAAGAACACAAATAGGAAATGTGATATGTAATATTGAAATAGATATTCGTGTGTGATTCGTCATTTAACAGTCCTCAGTGTAAAAAGATTTTAGTGTGCAAATGTAGTGCATGTTGTGATTAGCTCAAACAAATATGGTAGATCAAGAATAATATCTTTTTGTTGGAAAACATTACCGTCCTGATCACGTCAACCATTCTCCTTTGTTGTCTAATACATTATGGTCTCGAGTACAGTGTAATTGTAAAAGATTAGCCTTCAGTTGACTCTAATGAAGATGACGAAATGCCAACAAATAAAATAACAAACAACTAGTAGACTGTTATCTCGCATCACATTCTCTCTCGAACAATCACCAATGAGCATAATACCTATTGAAGCTGTTTGTTCTGAGATCGAATCCGTCAAATAGCATCAGTTCCCTCAAGAATACAGGTACACCTTGCTGATTAGTGACAAGTATCAGGAGAATCGGGTTCAGAGTTTCCTGTTGATCACCTCCAAGCATCATCTTATCTGTTTACTCAGTTGAAGATTTGAGTGAATCGACTACTTAGTATACTGAAAAAACACTTTGATCATAAAATTTCCTTATTATTTATTTCAAATTCAATTGATCTGCAAACTGTAGGTTGATTGCATAATTGTGAATGTTCGAATAATGGTGGATAGTGCGTGTTGGGTTTATTGAAGCATCTGAATCAGGTGAGTTTGTATGACTTCAGTTCATTGGGCGTGATAAGAATTTTCGAAATGAAAATGAATGTCACTTTCTATCATCACATTCATATGACTGATAATCAGTGATGGTAACCGACACTACAAGACCATATATAATAATAAACATAGGCAAAGGGGCTAACTATGTTTGTACTAATATCGTCAATTGAAATCATACATTCCTTGTTAAAAACAGCTTTCTCGTTAGCATTAATTGAAATTGTAGTAAAGGAGAACACTAATGACGATAAACGTATGTACTTGAATAGAGAATTACTGAATCCCCCAGAACAATCTGAGAACCATACAGTAAATTCTTTTTTCTCAAAATTTCAACCAATTGTCTCACACTTGGTTGTTTATTCGTCTCAACACCAATCATTCCCTGTTCTAGTTGTCATTCTCTTTCCTTTGAGGTTCTCAACTCTATGTCATCAGGCATTTGACTTTGTTTCATCTTAATCTGTGACTCTTCAGCAAAAACATGTTGATTGTGCCACACCGACCGTTAACTGATATCAGTTAATAAATCACTATATGCTGTGTCAGTGGTTTAAGTGTATAATGCAGTTCACAAGACCTAAAGCTCGTCAGTTCAGCTGACGGGCATTATTCCTACTCTTATGATCTGAAGTAATGCTTTTCTTCCATTTGTTAAACTTGGCTTACAACAGTCAAAGTAGTCGGACATTGACGCGTTTGCTGATGAGTTTTTAGTCATCGTAGTAAAATAAATTTATAGTCAAGCATATTAAATAACAAAAGACATTTATTGGTTATTTTTAAGAGATAATAATGAAAAGTCTCAATATCTTTAAAAGATCATTCGTTATAAAATCATTCATAATGAAATGAGGTCATGGTCAATGTACAATGTGTATAGTGTAATTATCTAATTCTACTATGAATCTTCATTTTCTTTCATACAACATATGATACATTACTAATCATTCATGTAATTGACTTCAATTGAGGTTTGTAAAATTGATCAAAACAACATTGCATAACATGAAGGTAACCTCCTTCTTTGTTTCTTTTTAATTTGAGAAGAGAATAGAGCAAATTTGGGAATCTCTATCTATCTGTTTATTTAAGTTACTTTTTAAAGTCTTATAGGATTTGGTATAAACAATTTTCATGGATCTTCTTCTTCGTTTTCTTCAAAAACGCTCTGAATTCAGCTTGAACTGGAAGTCATTGTAATCATGGTCACTCATCAATTAGCCATATGAACACAATTATTTGTGTAGTGAAAATCTACTGAAATTTCATTTCAGTAGTTAAAGATAATCGTTCAAAAATTACTTAATCTGGTGAAGTTATAACTAGCAAAATTCATCTGTCGTATATTCGTACGGACTTTAAATAGATGAATTACATAGACTATTCATCTTACTCTTCGTGTAATAATTTATTCAACTCTTAGAAGTAAGCATTTTCTACGTTCTTGAGAACAATTTCTAACGTGATTAAATAATGATGTATATAAACAATGAGACTGAACGCAGTTGTTACCTTGACGTGTTGATTAGGCCTGCCTACCGTCATAAATCAACTAATATATGTAGGCTATAAAATGTATTGCTTACCGTCATACTTTGCCAAACGTTTTGTTGTGAGATTAGCAAAACTAAAAGCAGTAACTTAATGTTCGAAGGCGTTGTCGACCTAATGAGTACATAAGGCTGTGACAGCAATAATGTACTATCACCGAAAATACTTCGATTGAAAATTGGCTGTATGATCAAAAATGCTTTTCGAAACAATTGAGACCAACTTTCGGATAATGAGGAAATTTAGAAAAAAAAGTTAAGATGGGATAGAGCTTACTTCGAGGAAATCATCAAACTGCATTACGAGGTCAGACCCTACTTTAAAGCATGAATGTAAACAGAAAAGTGTAAGGCCAAAAAGCACACTACTTCCAGAATTGGAAGCAGCCGCAACTGGAAACAACTGGAAAATGTTGGTCATAATGCAGTGTTGTCTACTTATATCCATATTAGTAGTATATGGAGTTGGTAAGACATAGAATGTATTTTGGCAGAAGACCGATCAGCAAAGAACTGAAATGCAGCGCAATCGTTTGGAAAATGCATGAGCAATGGAATTAGAGAAGAAACAGTGAAGATTGAAACAATTGGTTGTTAATTTGCAAATTGACTGTTCATTGTTTGGTTATCAGAATTTACAGAGATAATCTGTAATCTTTGCTTAAATACATTCGACTGTCCCCAACCGGTGTTTTGTTCACTAAATTGTATGAATTAGTCATCCCAGCAATAACGCAATTCAGATGAGCATTAAATGATCATTAACGAATATACTGTATTTCGAATTCAAAATCAAAACAGTTATCACATCTTGAATTTAAGTGTAAGTATCTGTAATCGATTTTACCTATTCTTCCTAAGTTCGTCTTACGTCTGGTCAACAATGTATTGGATATAGAATCTGTTTTATCTAGAATGCACCCATTAGTATTGCAATGAACAACTGAAACAGGAACAGACTCACCTGAGTCCTGATCTTGTATTCGATGAACTAGTCGGTTATGTATACACAGGTCATTGATATCTAGAATTCGCAAAATAGATTTTCCAACATTCTTCATCACAATCCGCGTAACTGTACAAAGATAATTCTCAGGATAATATGTGACTTCTGCAAACCTAAGACCTCGATGAAATCTGGATTCCATATTGCTGATGTTATTCTTTAGGAATCTGATGAGCTTCCTAGCTCTGAATACTTGAGATGCAGTGTACTCAGAAACGTTCACACTGTTGCCTCATCTGAAATACAGGTCATGAACAGTGTTTAAACATTTCAGTGTTTGTTTGTTTATAGCTAGATTTACGATACGGCAGCAGCCAAAGTGAATAAATCTATTTTTGTCAACAATTAGTTGCGAATTTCGCAAAATAGTCACTTCTTACAACTAGTTTATTTCTTTTTCGATAACAGCTGAAATATAGCTCTCTGGGGTGAGAGAGGAGAATGAATAAACCAGGTTTAGGTTATCAGCAAAGAGGAATGTTTTTCCACACTGAAATATGAAACACATGTCAATTATAAAAAGGAGAAAGAATAATGGACCGATCACACGTCCTTGTATAACCCCACTGGTTACATTCACTGGTTTGGAGTAGCAAGATCTTAAGCGGACAATTTGGTTACGTTCTTCTTCAAAAGACTGCAATTCAGATAAAATGAGATTCTGTTTTCCAAAGGAAGACAGGTTTAGAAGAAGGAGTTTGTCTGAAACGCTATCAAAAACCTTACTAAAGTCGAAGTAGAGAAGTATCACTGACTTACCAACATCTTTTCTCTGTGTAATTTGATCAAAAAGTTCCATGTGCGATGTGAAGCATTAGCGTTTAGTCATAAACACATATTGGAATGAGCTAATCAGATTAGCCCAAAGCAAAAATGGTATGAACTGTTTATATACGATTTTATCCATGGATCTTGATAGCACGGATGTCAAATTC